AAGAGCCAAGGCAGACAAGAATCCACAATTTTACTCAATTTCTTCATAAAGATTCGTGTCTGATAGCTGGTGTGGTGCAGTTACATGAATATTTCTTGCAGAGTTCAGGAATGAAAGCTGTTCCACAAATAGTCAATATTTAGCTATGATTATTTAAGTTGCACTGGAATTGCATGAGCATCTTAAACAGGAAAGAATGGACTTTGTCCTTGCTAGTAAAGATGTTATCTTTATTAGAAGATCCCTTGGAGCTGTGGTGCATCTGTGGACCTGTCCTTTCATATGCAGTTGCATTTTACCTGTTAGAAAGCTTTGTAGCATCAGCTAACAATTTTGTTGCTTCTTTTGGTTTGTTTCTTGTTGTTTTGTTTTTTTCCAATATATATTTTTTAATTACTTTACAGCCTTCTCTTCCTCCCCTTTACTCCAACTCACAATTGTGAGTCACTTCCTGATGCCCCAGCTAAAGGAAGTTTCTTCAGAGATATAACATGAGGTGATTTATGCATTTCTTTCTGGTGTAATAAATACAGGGAACTATTCAGCATAATTATTGAACTAGGCAAATATTTATTTTAGATATATTGTAGTTTGTATTGCTCTATGGCACATTAAACAAAGTCTATATTGTGAGAGCAGCTAGAACCTGGCGGCTGCTTTCATCCCAACTCCAGTCAGACTTTTATCACAAACCTCTCCAGGGAGGTGAGGCTTAACACTCCCAAGGGAAATGACAGAAAACATTTTTTATTATTGCTCTGGCAGGAGTCTAATGGAAGGTAGATTTTTACTGGTACAGGTGTTGACAGCACTGCATCCTGCATCCTTTCTGGAGCAGCTGATTGTGCTAGAAGGTACTTCTTACTGCATTAACTGTGTTACAGGCACCAGGGCGTCTGCTTTGCCTCACTTTTGTATTATGGAATTGTGGTACTTGGAGGAAAATAATTCCTTGAAAGCAGTGAGGTCGCAGCCACATCCTCTCTGCCAGTGGAGCACGAGCTCAAGGACAGAGCAGGTCTGTGGGCTGGGCAGAGCAGCCCATGGGGGAAAGCTTCTGCTGCTCCTTCTGCTGTTCCTGTCTGCAGGGCTCTGGTGGCTGCCACTGAATTGTGAGAACTCACTGGTGGAAACTTGAAAGCAAAATTGTTCTCCCATACAGACCTCGTCCTTTAAGGGGAAAGGCCTGCACACTGCAAACTTGGGAGCACCACAGCTATCTTAATCTGCACTGATGATGTGTTTGGATTGATCCATCCTTGTATTTCAGAGCACTTTGGAAAAAAGATCACAGGGTGTTTTCTGTCTTGGGTTAGAAGGCACAAGTTGGAAAACAGTGTTGCTACAGAATTATAGAGCAAGGGAGAGAAGCTCTGTCTCCTGACCTTTGTGGTGCTTTCAGTAGTATTCCAATGTGATTAAAAAAATACAGTTGTTCACGTTGGTTTTGCCTAAATTGCTTAAATTTATGTAAAGCAAGTACATAGATACTTTTTTTTTTACATGTTGTCACCACAGGCATGCCATTGTAACCCAATTATTAACACTTCTAAAAAAGAAACATGTTATTATTTTGCATATGTGCAAGAGAATTTTCCTGCTCTGGCAACAAGTTGAGAAGTGGGTGAGGGGCGGGAAAAGGATTACAGGGTAATCCTTTAAAATGAATGCAAATGTAATGGTGAAATGTATTTTAACAGAAGAAAGCATGCAGAGTTATAGTCTCACAGCAAGAAATAAACATTGTAATCATAAACAAATGGAACATTGAGAACAGAAGACAGTGATTTTATTGTATTGACATAGGATGCTTGGGCAACAATGAAGGACTTGTTCTCTTAGGACACACTGGCATGAGGGCCCTCTCTGTGGCCATTGCTTCCAGATAGTGTGTGTGAGAGCTTGGATTATAAAATAACTAGGAATGTCACAGGCAAGGAGAAGGCTTGCTTTGAGGGGAAATTGGAGAACCTCTTCACAATAGGGCCTGAAAGTGAATGTTCTCAAGAAGTCTGGAAACCAAAACAGCACTGAGGCCTGCCCTGCCTTTCGCATCAATTTAAATGCTCTTTTTACACTCTGCAGAGTCTTACCTGCATGGGCATTTTGGTTTAGAACCCAAAGCCAGCTCTGCAGATTTATGCAAACTGATGAAACAAACTGATGATGTGTCTTCATGTGACACCGTGTCCTGTCTTCATGTGTCAGGTGTCTGCTTTCTGTGCCGCAGGCTTAGATTCCATCAGATTCCTCACACAGATCCTAGGGGATTGTTTCTAAATATGCATCCCAGTGGGAAATGCTTCTTGCAAAAGAAGCTGTCCTGGAGGGAGACTTTTGTTGTGGACTTATGGACACAATCTGGATGGCACAACAGACAGGCAGTGCTGTGTAAGAACGTGGGAAAAGCCTTTGCCCTCCAAGAGTCATAGGTTTTTTCAATTAAGCCAAATCAGTACACTTGCAAAGGAGTACTTATTCTTTTTCTTTATTTCTTTTTCTTTCTGTTTACCATATATTATTCATACTTTTTTATGATATATTATCCATACTTTTTTTTTTTTTTGATAGCCTGACTGCTGGTGAGTTCATAGTGAAATAGGACAGAGCTCCTTCCCATGGGTTTTTCAGCCCTGTATATTTAGAAAGGGAAAGAATGGCAAAAAGATGATATCATTTTCATTTTTATGGGAGAGAAGCAAGACAGAGAAAAACAAAATATCTTGGCCAAGTTTCTTTAGTGTTTTTGTGAAGAACTGGGTAATATAGAAAAATCTCCAAGTCCTGTGCAGTGTCTATTTAATGTGTGGTTTGTACGTGCTTTGAGAGTATCTTCTAACTCTTCACTTGTTTGTTTAGAATCCAGACTCATTCTAAACAAACCCCTTGTTTCCTTGAGATCAGATTGCAGATGCTGGATACAAATGTAACGTGAAGCTCAGATCCTGTTTGGGTTTTTTGTTTGTTCGCTTGTTTTTAGTTCTAACACTAGGAGGCTTTTAGGGATGTCAAAAAACAAAAGCAAACGTACACACAGAAAAATAAAACCAACTCAGAGTTGTTGTGTTCTAGTGCAAGCATAACGAGGGGATGTCTCTCTTCTATCAGTACAAGATAAAAAAACAAAGCTTGCACCTCCCTTTTCTTGTAAGGTCTTTGAAGCAGTGCCCATGAAGGAAAAACTCCCATTTGAGAAAATACAACCACAGGAAGTTTTTGTACATTGATAGAATGTACAACACATTCTGGGGCAGATCTGCAAAGCAATAACCTTTCTTAATAACCTGCTGGCATATGGAGCCGAGAGAAGCATGTAAAAGTTGATGTTTTGTTGTTGATGCCGTTAAGATCAGGGCCTGTTTCTTATGAGGCACTTTTCTAATAGAGCTGAGCAGCCTTGCAGCAGCTCCCTCAGTCAGGGAATAACTCATCCTTGGAAGCTGTCTGGTCCAACAGGCATGTTTAGAGCACATCCAACTTTGAAATTAGATCCAGCTACAAAGATAACTTGGGCTGCTCAGGGCTCTGACCAGTTGGGTTTCAAACATCTGCAAGAATGGAGACTCCTTGTCCCCCTGCACACCTGTTCCCATCTGTGACCACTCTAATGATGAAAAAAGTTCCCAGTACCTAAATGGAATTTCCTTGGTTGCAGCCTGTGTTTATTGCCTCTTTCCTGTGCACCTCCAGAAGTTTGGCTCTGTCTTCTTTAGAAGCTCATGTTATATAGATGAATAAAATCATAAGATCTTATTTTGCCCTCTCAAGTCGGGACAAATCCAGTTCTCTCAGTCTCTCGCCTTGTGCTCCAAATACCACAAAGTCAGCAGCCTGGTCCCTTCATCCAAAGCAAAAACTCAGATTAATTTGCAGCAGATATGTTTCGGCCTTCAAAGCATCAGTGAAGGCCAGACACGTGGGGTAAGTTATTTCCATGTTTGAAGGGAAATGTGCTGGCACAGACACAAGATACCTTGTTGCTAATGTAACTTTTGGCAGGTATGTTCACTCAGACAGGTTTCTTAGATGCCAAAAGCAAAGCACAGTGTAACCTATATTTCTCACATGTGGCCTCACAAATAGCCCTGTGTTCAAACTTCCAGTCGGCCTTGGTTTTTCTCCTGCCACATGGCAATGCATATCTGAGAAGAAAATTCAGCAAACTATTTGCAAAAATAAATAATTTTTGAGTACTCATATAACTTCTGACTATAATTTCAATTTAGTTGTATGAATGCCCAGAATTATTTCCTTTATTCCAAAATATTCAGAAATGTTTGACAGAAAGAAATATATGTGTGGTTTGAATTAGTTTGCAGTATGATTCTTCACTGACTTCCTAGATAAAATTGATTTCAGCCAATAAAAATCCTTTCTGGACCTTGTCTGTCACCAACTTTTATCTCCTTTGCTCCATTGTAACCTGTCTTCATTGCAAACAAGGTTTCAAAGATATTGTGATGACGGATTGAACGTCCAAACAGAGAAAACAAAACCTAATTGTGTAGGAAGTTTACCTTGTGGGGGTTTTTAGCTGGATTTTTTTCCCCCTCGCAATGTCAAATGGGTCTTTAATTGAATGAATTTAATTGTTGTAAAAGGTTTCCTTCCTATATGCCCTGCTGGTTGTCTTGGTTATGTTTTTCTAGTTGTTGCTTTCGTGCCAGGTGGTGTTGGGAAGAGCTTTCTCAGGTAATCTGCCAACAAAACACCTTCTCAGATGTGACTGGCTGGAGGTTTTTGTGTTCTGTGCACACACCTCTGCAGCTATGCTGGCCAATACTACATCTATATAGTATCTCCAAACTCATCGTGACCTGTTTGCAATTGCTATTAACACAGTTGCTTAAAATTGCCATTAAAGATCATGTGTTTCTCTTGCTGGTTATCTTGGCACCTGTGATTTGTTTCCCCCCAAACTATAATATTTGAAAGCAATCTTTAGCAAGATTCATCGTCTAGTTTTGGACTTATTGACTGTTCTGGAGTGCTTTATCACCTTATTGTATTCCAATATTTCAATACTACTCAAGAGTCCTAGAGTACAGGATCAGGTCATGAATCAACTGGCAGAACCTCCTTATTTGATTGCTATCTGTACAGATTTCGCCTTTCCTTTTCCATTCTAATGGAAATGTAATGAATATAATTTTCATTAAAATAAATAATTTCCAGTACAAATACTTCAAGGTTATTTCAGATATCTGTTCCTGTGTAGAAACTGTTTCAGCAGCAAATCACCAGTTAGTGTTCTTCACTCAGTTGTGAACATTGTGATGTTTTCATTTAAGCTATTTCTTTCATTGATATTTATATAGTTGTGTGTACATGTCAAAATTCTTATTCAAGCTGAAATATATCTACTTCTCTCCTGTTACATACTGAACCTAGTAATCCATCAAAGACAGAAACTGAGCTGACATATCCTGTTCTTTTCCTTGCTCTTCTTATCACTGTTATATTCCAGTGGTTGAAAGTTTTTGCTCTATCATTTGCTCTAGAACCTTTCCAGGACTTGAGTGGGTTGTGAATTCAGCAATTACTCTGACATTCCTTCTTCCTTTTTTTCTTCTTGTTCCTGTCCTCTGTATACTCTCAGAGGTTTCAACACCACTTTTATTAGTTCCTGAATTGGTCAAGACCAAATTTCATTAAACCTTTTTCATTTGGAGATATCGGTCTTGTCTGAATAATCCATATATCTTCTCTCTCCTGGTCAGCATTTATTTCTTTTGGAATCTGCAGTGATAAAAAAAATAATTCTTTTAGTAAGAATTTATTCCTCTAGCTATTTTGCAGGTCTAAAATGCAGACTATCAAAAGTAGTTGCCATTGCTCTAAAAATGATGGTGTTAATCCTGTTTTTAGAAGAACTGCTGCAGTGACTTGCCTTGATAATTCAAAACTGCTCAATGGTAAAGGAATAGTGCCTGGAAATTTTTGACTCTTACTCAGCACTCAGGGTGTGCATCATGGGTCAGGACTCAGCTGTGCTAAAACTTGTGCAAGCAAAATGATCTTGTCCCAGAGAAAGTCATGGGGAATAATATATGATAACATAAAAGGAATGTACTGAGCTTATACATGCACAGTGGATACATACAAGTTTTACTAGTCAGCCTCTATTTCATGCCATGTGTGTTTGAAGTACTCTGACTTGATTTGGGAGTGTGTAACATAGATGAATCCAGGGTAAAGGAGAACCCAAACACTTTATTGTTATCTTGATGTGGTAACTACAAAATTTGTCTTCCTTGTAATGGCACTTGAAACTGCCAATTAAAAAAAACTTTTATGGAGTTGAGGGGTTGTTGTTGTTTGTTTGGTTGGTTTGGGTTTGGTTTGGGTTTTTTGGCCCATTTTTGGTTTACTGAAGTAAATCTGGGAATATATGAGCTGCGTTTCAGGAACCATCCTCCATCTCACTCTTCATAATTCTGTAGTGTTGGTGGGGACATGGGAAGTATCTGCTCACATTGAGAAGAGGTAAGATGGTGAGGGCTCCTAGTGAAAAGATTGGTTGAGTTATTGCCAGGAAGACAGGCTGAGATATCTGAAGCCACAGTTATTTTTTTTTAGAGGTGTATGTATACAGGCTAGTGATGTCAGATAGCATGGATGTACATGTAGCTCATTACATGCTGCTATAATCTTTCCAGCATATGAAAATCTGGAGGGGAGCTCACAGAGAACATAACAGTGTAGCTCCCTACATGTTGATTGGTTTTCAAAGTAAAATCTTGGATTACATGATTCGAATCAGTTTTCATTTTTTAGAGAAAGTCTCCATTACACAAATATGTGGGAAATGTACAGAAACTAGACAAGGTAGATATGTTGTGCATTTATATTAGTGGATGATTTGATGCTGTGGGTTTATGTAGTGTACTTTTACCTTATAGTTTTGTGAAATTTTTATATTATCCATAGATCAGAATTTCAAACTGATTTTGACATTTTCACACCGTGAAAGCAGGCAAAATTTGACATAAGGACTTCTGTATCTTGTGCACCTCTTTTTAGACATCAACTATGCTCATCTTCTGACAGCAGATGATTTCTAGAGCGACAACCAAGTCTGCAAATAAAATGAAGAATATCCCTTGTGTGCATTTGAAGCGCAGGTTTGGAAACCTGTAAAACCCAGTGTTTGGCAACACCATCTCTGTGCTTGATTATTTGACATAGATTATTTGAGTTTATTATTTGAGTTCCCAGCCTGGGAGTCCTTGACTTAAACCAAACCTGCAGATTGATCTCTTCAGCCCTGGAGTTCCCTACTGTGTCTGAGGGACTGATCTGAATGAAGATACAGGGCCCTCCTGGGCTCAGCCAAATGTTCATTTAGACCAGGATTCTTCCTATGAATTTTCTCTTTCCCAACCAAGAAATTTACAGCCAACTTACTTTAATTGTTTCTTAGACACACGAATAGAAATGTCATGTTTAGTCTCTTTTTAATGTGGAAATGAAATTTAATTCTTTGCATTTCTGATCGATTTTGCAATTGAAATAGAGAAAAAATATTTAAAATACCAACTCATCACAATCAAAGGCACAGAACAGAGGTTATGTGTGTGGCTGCCACACATGTACATGACCAACCTTACTTATGTGGGCCATCCCATTTAGATATGCACACATGGGGCTGCAATGCCATACCCTAAATGATCAAAGAAATCCAAATCCCAAATTCCTACTTTCAGTCAAGCATTCACATAATTCTTAACATACCAAGTAGTGTTTAAAACTGCTATTGAAAGCAGTAAGTGTTAGGCTCTGAAACTGATTATACATCTAAAAATCACTTTGGTTAATTAAATAATTTTGTTTCTATTCATATTCCACTGGTTCTTTCTCTCCTTTCATTAATTTTAACCCACAAAAAAGCTGACTAAAATCACCCTCAGTGTAAATGCATGATCATAGTCTTTGTTCTAATCCCCACTGAGTGTTTGGTATTATTTTCAACTCAAACCTAATTAACAGTGTATGTTTGTTATTGAAATCTGAACATTTCTGTATATTACATATCAATGCATAGTCATCTGTGCGCTGTTATTTTCAGAATATTGTTCTGGTCCACGTCTTTGTCCTTAATTTCAGCAGGCACCACATTACAGTAGAGATTCTTCTGACAGCAAACAAACCTTATTTTTCTTCTTTTGTCTTTCTCCTGTATTTGTCCTGGTTTTAACACTGTGTGTCTGTTTAAAAGCTGTGTGTGATAGGGAATTGAAGCAGAGGATTCAAAAAAGAGAAGTCTCCTTTCCAAAACTACTAGTGGCGCCCTTAGTAAAGGGCACAGGAGTTGAATAAAAAGACTTTTCAAGATCAGGGGTGTGTTCCAGTGGTGCAGCAGTGTTGGGATGGTGACTGCTGCCAGTAGCTCTGTTTCTGTCACTAGAGCAATGTTTCCAGTTCAACACAAGGCATAAACATGTTTAAGTCCTTTTTACATGTCAGATGGAAAAAGTCTGTGTTCTAGTAGCCCTACTTTGTACAAGATGGCTTCGTTACTTACATGATGAAAATTAAGCATTTCCTGAAGTGTCTTCGTGGAACAATGCCCAAAACAACAATGAAAAAAAGAAAATTCAAATGAAAACGTCCAAGCAGAAGTAGATATGTGTATAAGCATGAAATATATTTGGAATAGCAGTGATGCAGCATCTCAGTTATAGCCAGAATTCTGCTTGGCCAGCTCAGCCTGCTGGTCACAGAGGTGAGTGGCTGTCTTGGAGAGAAGGTCTACTGGCTTCACTGGTGCTCAGGGCAGTAATCCCAACATTAGCATTGTTATACCTGTGTTGATGAAGGCACAGGCATGCCAAGATCTTGATATGGCCAGAATAGCGTATCCCTAACTAGTTTAAAACTCAAGTAGCACTTACCTTTATCAGCTCTCTTTAATGGCCATCTCCTACCATTCTAAGCTTCTTCAAATCTGCATAGCTGAAGATATGAGAAGGATCACACGTGATGGGTACGGGAGGCTGCTGGAAAATTTAATTTTAAATTCAGTTGAATGGTAAGACCTAGCTTTTTGTTCCTTCTTGACATCTTAGAGACATCATTGGGATTCAGTGCCTTTAGCAATTCATTTATTTAGTTATTTAGATGGAATTGCAATTGGAAGGCTTATTCCCAATGAATCATTCTTTATTGCTAATATTCAGTAGGGGGACACTGATTTGTGTTTTATCCTCAATTACTGATATTGAATGGATTTTTCTGGAGTAATAGAAGAGGTTCTGATGAAATGAGTATGGATCCCCCATGAAATTTCATTTTCAGTATGACATTTTTTCAGACAGAATGATTATTAGAAACTGCTTGTGAATGGACATTGATTATGGAACAGAATTATTTAGGATAGCTGAATACAGCTGTTAAGGCTACATAATATCCTAGACTATATCTAAAGGTAAGCAAATCATATGTTGAGATTTAGAGGACACAGGGGTTACATGATTTTTATGTGGAAGCAAATAGTACTTCTCTGGACAAGCATAGGAACCCCAGCCCACAACTCAGCAAGACTTTCTGCCCTCAATCATCTGGGGCTGGAGATGATTTTGGAACTACCTGGCTTAATTCAGACAGAGATAGTTACTTTTATAAATTAAGTTAACTTTGTTGGAATGCTTCAACATTTGGATACCCACTTGAATACAGTTGACAAAATCTGAGATGTGCTATTTTCTGCTGATTTGTGTCTGCCAGGTAAAAATAAAAAGTAACTTAGGTCACTCTCCCATATGAGTGTAAAGTCTACAGAGGGAAAAATAGGATAGCAAAATAAAAGTAACCAGATTCTATTTGAGGTGTTCCTGAAGCAGTATGGAAAACTGCTCCAGGGGCACCTGGGCTCTCCATTGATCTAGTGACCTCAGGCAAGTTGCATCACCTCTCAGTTCTTCATGAACCTGAGAGATAATGCTCAAGGCCTCCTTTTGTCACATGCTGTCAGATCTGTTGATGAAAGGTGCTTCACAGAAATAATAACCCTATTCACAAAGAATTTAATGTCTTATTTTCAAACTTATTTTCCATGTTAGTGCAAATGGATTCAGGAGTTCTGGAACTGGGAAGCCCAATATGTGCTCTAGGCTACTCCAGCTCTTCAGGGCAAATTTTTCCTGAAAAACAGATATTTTTTATGTGTCTCTCCTAAAAGGATTTTGAATATCTGATATGTTATCTGCTTATTCTGTTTCATACTCTTGTGCTTTGTTGGTTGCCCAATTTTTTACTTCCCCTTCCCTCCAAGTCTTGCAGAAACTCAGTCTTTGAACTATTCATTCCTGTCAAATCAGACCTACATGACCTAAAGGATCAGAAGCTGTTATGGGGGTGGGATGGGTGGACAGAAAGTCTTGTGTAGCATGATTGTGTAGGTCTCTTATCCTAAGGAAACCAGGGCAGAAGTCATGTCTGCCTTCATTCCCTCTGTTTGAAAACCAGAGAATGGACTTGCCAAAAGAATATCTCCAAACTTGAAGCTATCTTTATCCTTAGCAAATGGGATGGAATTCTTGCCAAAAAGTGAAAGAATAAGATTTGCAGCACAGATGGGACTGCTTTGTGCATGACTAGAACAGGTGAGGCACAAATTAAGATCCTCATCACTGCATAATCTGATCCAGGAAAGCTGCTACAGCTTCCTACAGAGGAAATAGGAAAAATTATGTATAGGATTCCCAGTTCTGTGAAGCACTGAGGCATCCAGAGAAGACAAAAGAATATCTGGTTAGCTTTAGAAGGGGCAGCAGGAAGGAGAGCAATAGTCTGACTTGTGCACAGTGATGAAATCAAGCCTTAGCACCAAAAAAGAGGTAAGGTGGATATTTTATGGGAGAGAGGGAACCTTTCTAAGGCAAAGGTTGAATAGACTAGGTGGGACCTCTACAACCTCTATTTCAAAAACTGGTTTTTAGAACAGGATTATGCAAGTGTCTGTCAGGAATTACATAAGAATACCTGATAACTGCAAGGCCTCCTGAGCTCCATTTGGACCACCTTTTCTATGATTTTTCCATAAAGTACAGGTTGTATTGTGAAACACAGATATGCAGTGACGTAAACATGACCTTTGCGCACTAAGCTGTTAAGGTTTGTCTGTCTGGAGACTGACAGAGCTGAAAGTTTGTCTTATGCAAAGCAAAGCTGCTAACAGAAATACTGTCCTAAATGAGTCATTCAGCCCTCAGAGGAGGGGGAACCAAAGCCTTTGAAAATAGCCCCAACTTGCCAATAGCATCAGGACTCAGAAGCACTTTCAGCAGCATTATGAGCACAACTCATAGGATGGTAGCATAATAAATAATACATAGCATTGGTGCTTTGCTAAAGGCTACAAACACTTTTACCTCATCTGGCCAGCTCCCAGGCAGAAAGAAGCTTCTCATCCTTGGCTTCAGTCATGGATACTGGAAGCTGATGGCATGTGAGGTGACAAAGCAGCATCCATGTCATGTCCACAGCTAGAGAAATATTAGTATCAGAGAAAGGCATTATCCATCAGGGAAACAAGTTGCTGTTTGTTGTGAGCTTGGATGACAGAATTCAACAAGTGCTATTGCATCAAAGGTCCAGATCCCAAACTCTTACTCATGCATGCAGTCTTATTTAATCTTCCCTGTAGTCAAGTGCTTGTTTAGGCCCATCATAATTTCCTGAGATACTGACAGAAATCACTACCAGCTCAGAAGTCAGTTGTAATATCTTTGAGCACTGCCCAGTGACACTGGATCTAGCAACAGAATTCATGCATAGTGCTGAAATTTGTCTATACAACAATTCACTGCTGCTTGGTTATTTTGTCTCCCCATTAATGCTGATATATAGTTTTCCATTAATTTTCATGGATAGTTGTGGATAAATATCCAAGCTTTAAGTTTTACAAAAATATATTTGCTTGGAAAGAAAATTTTTAACTCAGCAATATTACATTTTCAAAAATTTAAATCCATCAAAATCTTTTTATCAGAAAATTGTAAAACAAAATTAAAGGTTAATAACATTTTATTACATCTTCTCTAATACTTTCTAGTTTAACTAAATTCACTGAGAAAAGCCTCTAGTTTTCCAGTCAGCACAAGTACCAGGCTTACAAAAACACTTTTGCTCTGCAGAAAAACAGCATGAAGTGTTGCTTATGGGGAAATTCTAACTTGTCACATTAAACTTACTGAGCTGGGAGAGAACAGAAACCCCGACAGACCCGCGGATGGTGATGCTTGCAGCCTGCCTTGAACCCACCAAGTATGACGAACAGTGACACTGCTGTCTCAATGTATTGCTGACAGAGCTGCTGTACTCATTAACCTTTGATGAAACAAGATGTCACTTTGTTCACATCAAATGCTCCTTGATGCCAGCGCTCAGAGACTGTTTTTGTTGCTGATGCAGACATCAGCTATTGTTGAAAACGTTCTCTTTCCCTTCCAGCGTTTCACTGCCCATGAGGATTTATAGGTGCTGATCATTATCAATCTGCAAATGGAGTCTGAAGCCAAGAGTGCATGTTTAATTTCTGCTGCTTTTAATTATTTATTTTTATTTAAAAATCTTTAATTTAAACGGAATTCACCTATATTTAAACTCCTGAAAGCATTAAGTTCTTGACGTGCTACAGAATGCTGCCAGGAACTCAAGGACACATTTGAGTGATCCCTTCATTTTTCTCTTTGAGGCTACTAGTACTGCTAAAGAATTTTGTACAGCATTAGAGCTAGAAGCACATTGTAGTGGGAAGAGGCATTGAGTTGTGTAACATTCCAGTCAGCATTATGACTAAGCAGTGGGGTAGCATGGATTAAAACAGACACTTTCTAGTTCCTGATCTGTTCTCCAAACTTTTATCAGCACTGCTTCTATTATCAGCATGAAGAGCCAATCTTGCTATTCAATGTACAGTAAATAGCATGTTATCTAATGAGGAAATCCTGACTGACTTGGAATAATTCTCTGATCTAGGAATAATTTTTGTTTAGTCCTTACTTTGCATAAGTACATTTATATTGCTATGAGATAAATGAAAGCAGAACAAGAAAGAAAAGAAAAAATTTTTCCTTGCTGAATACTGAAATTTTCAGTACTGAAAGCCTGAGATCAGGGATGCATGTTCTCCCAATTGCTTTTGTGTCTGTTATTTTAGTGGACAGAGCAATATTTACAGATGACCTCTAATGACATTCTTTCCACTTTATAGTTCTCAGTATCCTTTTGCTTCATTAGGGGACTTTGCAGTTTTTGCATTCGATTTGTTTGATTTAATTATTTTTTTCACAATTAAGTCAGTCGTTACACCTGTCATGCAAATATAACATCTTGGGAAGCATTTGAAGATAAGAGTAGGGATTCTTCTAATTTGCAGTTGTGCAAAAGAAGAGCATCTGATCATAGCTCAGTGCTGGAATTCTAGCCAAAGGTCATGCCATGCCTCAGGGGGTGATGAGCCATCAAAGCTTTGTGGGATAATGTCGCTCTAGAAGTGTTTTTAAAGAAAAAGATTTGAAGGAATCTAGGTAAACCAGCAAATTGTTTAGGGCATAGGAGACTTCTGACTCTTGCAGTAAGAGGAGGCAGCAGAAGTGAATGTTAAAGACAGACAGTGTAAGTGGATGAGATGCAGGCAGAAGTATTTTCATGGGAAATGTAGGAAATATTAATAGTTTGCTTAACACTGAAGTGCATCTGTCCCATATTGAGTGATGAAAGCCCGGGAGATTAACCATCCAGCTTTACAAGATGAACACGTGATATTCACAGAATAGCAATCTTACATGAAATGTAACCGTGCCACTAAACAGCAACACAAAGGGAAGTGCATCTGAGAACACTCGTGGAATACGATCAAGCATAGCTGATACAGAGTCCTTGAAAGGTGCTGCTAAATACACTCATTTAGACTTTCACCTGTTGCTTTAAATCATTCATAGCCCTGGCATGTCTGCCAGCACTGTGACCCCTAGCACAGAGTGAGGAACATCAAAGGCAGAAGGGAGCAGATCAGGTCTCAGGTAGGCGTTGCACCCTTGTTATGGATAAAAGAAGTGACAGTAAGTTATAAAACAGGTGGAATTGGGATATTGCAAGCCTCATGTGAGTAGCCCAACAAATAATTCTGCCCATGCAGAAACACAAAGAAGGGGTTTTAAAATATATTTTTATCTCAAAGATGTGTGAAAATACATGGGCTATACACTGATTCATTATTAAAAACTCTTCTTGACTTCATTGATTTTTTTAGATTTTTTCAGTCCAAGAAGGATTTACACTCTCTGAAACTGCCTGTAACGCCAAAGGAAAATAAAATTATTATAAATTTTTATCAATCAGATTAATCTTTTGGAGATACATCACCATGCCATGTAACATCTTTGCTGCCAGGCTGCTTAAGGTCAGGTATTTACTGCCAGGCACGATTTTCTGCTGAAATGGCTGTTTTCTCTGGAAATACACACAATGCTGCTTCCCATCTTTAAATGTTTTTAATTTGCTTTTAGGTGCAACATGTACAGACTGATTTTAAAGCAGTAGAAATTGCTCCTTGGAAATGAACTGTAGTTAAAATGGAAGACAAGCTCATTTGCAATCAGAACCAACAAGTCTGAAAACATGCTCTGGGTATCTGATATCAGGCCAATTCCAGTAATGTTCACTTGACTATGTCTTGTATAATCTGTAGTTATTGGACCAGAAAAAGTCTGTTATGAATGTTTATTGCTTCTAATCACTGAATCCTAACATCAGAACACTTTTTGAACACAAGTAAAAACACTTTCACAAATCCCCTTCAGATATAACAATTTTTAGGGTATTTATCTGAACTAAGGGAAACTTTAAGAGTTAATCACATTCATAATAATGCTGATGATATGAGTTTCAGGGTTTCTGTATGGTCCTAGACAAAACTGACTTTGGAGAACATTATTTGTGATCCTAATACAGGCCCCAAAGAAGTGCTTTCCAGTGCTTTCACAGCAGTAAAGCAGAACCCTACCCAAGCCCCCACTGTAATGAGTATTTGCTCTCTGTGCTAATACACACATCCTGTCTGCCATACTGACAAAACCCCTGCTGCAGTCTTTGAACTTTTCATACATGAGTGTTTTCAGGGTTAAAATTCTGTTTAGCAGAGAGTTGGTGTTTGGGATGGATTTTCAGTAGTTATTGTCTTTTAAAGTTGGTAATAATTTTAATTTTTTTTAAAGTTTACTTTGGGGGCTGTTTTCTTTTCTGGTGGTAAAGAGAAGGGGAAGGAGGGGGAAGTTTTGTCGTCTCCTCTGAGTGGCCAAAGCCTGTCTGTGACCTTCTTTGAGAAGTGATTTCAATGAGTTAGAAATGCTTTCTCTAGTGTTTCTATGTACTTTCTCCCAGGTTTTGAGATCCAGTGTGTATCACAGGAGTTCAGATTTCATAGTGCCCTTGAGCAGAGTGTGTTTCTAAGACAAACAGTGGCCTGATGGTTGCACTGAAATGCAACACTGCATAGCCCCACTGACATGAGGAAGCTGGATGAATGCCAGTGGAATGTGGGCCCGGTGGAGATGTGGTGGTCTCTGCTGGGAGAAAGGGCATTTTCTGGAGGCTGGAAATGTATGATGTTCACATCCAGCTCCAGATATAGCGAATTATGGTAATCAACTGTTATTTGGCTCACCATGGCCAGATGCTCCTCTGACAGGAAGGGACAATATTTTCTGTAAAGCTGGAAATAAAAACTGACATATTTCTAAAATGCCTCTGCTATCCCTCCATCCAGACCAAGATTTCAGACCACTCCTTTGGAAGGTCTTATTCACTGACAGAGGAGACAACATCTTATTTCATGCTTTAGAACATTTACTGGTTTTAATCAGCTCAGTTTTGGTCTTTCCCATGCTAATGAGTCAAGATCTCTTCCTCCCTGAATGGATTCCCTTACCAAATTTAGTTAATCCAGTCTGACTCAGTATAAAGTAGTGGTGCAAAGGAATTATCAGTGTTATCTTTGTCAGTGGGCTCTGTGGGAGCAATTCCAGTAAACCTCTGGTTTATGTGTATGAAGGTTGAAAGATCTCCTGTTCCAACAAAGAGAAAAATGATCTTGAAGTAAACATAATGTTCAACATGCTAAGTTATCTTTTACTGGTTTTTTTTTTCCACGAGAGGAGAAATTGGGTGCCTAAAATATGGGCACAAGGTTAAGCCCATTCTCAGATAACAGGGGCACTGAGTTGGGCTGCTCTCCATCCTTCAGACAGAGCTGTTGGAAGCTGCAAGTTTTGCCTACTGCCAAAACTGAATTTGAAATGCTCTCTTGTCATTTTTCTTCATCTCTTTTCACATCACTGCTGATTATCACTGATATTGGCTTGGAAAAGGAGACACTCTCCACTCATAACCATGCAACCACCACAGCGTGCAAACCTCGCCTGGGCAGCCTTTCCTCCTGCCGTGCTCTGCAC